CCGGTCCCAAGCCCGGATAAATAGAGAGGGTTGTGTCAGGAAGGGCATCCGACGTAAAACTTTTGCCAAATTCATTATGCGAACCACAAACATGAATTCCATACCGGATCGGTCGGGGCCCGGGTTAACAGCGACCGCCATCGGTGCCGTTGACCTACAGGGCACTGGTGGAAATTGGGCTACTGTTGGTCGAAGAAGGAGAGGAGGAAGGTGTGTGAGAGGAGGAAGGCGTGTCCGTAGGCAGAGAGAGAAGAGGAAAGGCAGGAGTTTAGGACTGAAAGTAGGGACTTTGAATGTTGGTACGATGACAGGTAAAGGCAGGGAGCTGGTAGATATGATGCAGAGGAGGAAAGTCGACATTCTGTGTGTCCAGGAGACCAGGTGGAAAGGGAGCAAGGCTAGAAGCATTGGAGCAGGGTTTAAACTGTTTTATCATGGTGTGGACAGGAAGAGAAATGGAGTAGGAGTAATCCTGAAGGAGGAGTTTGTGAAGAATGTTCTGGAGGTAAAGAGAGTGTCAGATAGGTTGATGAGTCTGAAGCTGGAAATTGAAGGTGTGATGTTGAATGTTGTTAGTGCTTATGCTCCACAAGTAGGTTGTGAGCAAGAGGAGAAAGACAGATTCTGGAGCGAGCTTGAGGAAGTGATGCAGAGTGTTCCCAGAGGTGAGAGAGTGGTGATAGGGGCAGACTTTAATGGACATGTTGGTGAAGGGAATAGTGGGGATGAGGAAGTGATGGGGAGGTTTGGTCTTCAGGAAAGGAACCCAGAAGGACAGAGGTTGGTAGACTTTGCTAAAAGTATGGAGATGGCTGTGGTGAACACGTACTTTCAGAAGAGGCAGGAACACAGGGTGACATATAAGAGTGGTGGCAGGAGCACACAGGTGGACTATATCTTATGTAGACGCTGTAATCTGATGGAGATTAGCGATTGCAAAGTAGTGGTACGAGAGAGTGTAGCTAGACAGCATAGGATGATGGTGTGTAAGATGACTCTGGTGGTGAGGAAGATGAAGACAGCAAAAGCAGAGCAGAAGACAAAGTGGTGGAGGTTGGAAAAGGAAGAGTGTTGTGTGGTTTTCAGGGAGGAGTTGAGACAAGTTTTAGGTGGTCAGGAGGTGCTTCCAGATGACTGGACTACTATAGCCAAAGTGATCAGGGAGACAGGTAGGAAGGTGCTAGGTGTGTCATCTGGAAGGAGGAAAGAAGACAAGGAGACTTGGTGGTGGAATGAGGAAGTTCAGGAGAGTATCCAGAGGAAGAGGTTAGCTAGGAAGAAGTGGGACAGTGAGAGGATGGAGAAAAGTAGACAGGAATATAGGGAGATGTAGAGTGAGGTTAAGATAGAGGTGGCAAAGGCCAAACAGAAAGCTTATGAGGACTTGTATGCAAGGTTAGATAGTAAGGAAGGTGAGAGGGATTTGTATCGGTTGGCGAGGCAGAGGGATAGAGATGGAAAGGATGTGCAGCAAGTTAGAGTGATTAAAGATAGAGATGGAAATGTGTTGACAGGAGTGCAAGGTCTCTAACATCCACCAGCTCCGTGATGTCATCATGGAGGAGTGGAAGAGGACTCCAGTGGCAACCTGTGAAGCTCTGGTGAACTCCATGCCCAAGAGGGTTAAGGCAGTGCTGGAAAATAATGGTGGCCACACAAAATATTGACACTTTGGGCCCAATTTGGACATTTTCACTTAGGGGTGTACTCACTTTTGTGGCCAGCGGTTTAGACATTAATGGCTGTGTGTTGAGTTATTTTGAGGTGACAGCAAATTTACACTGTTATACAAGCTGTACACTCACTACTTTACATTGTAGCAAAGTGTCATTTCTTCAGTGTTGTCACATGAAAAGATATAAAATATTTACAAAAATGTGAGGGGTGTACTCACTTCTGTGAGATACTGTATGTGTGTGTGTATATATATATATATATATATATATATATATATATATGAGCGTGTGTGTGTATATATGTACATATATATATTATTCTCCTTAATATTTAGTATGCACAATTATGTATATTGTTTTCAGCACTACATTGTATATTTGCACAAAGTACTCCGTCTGAAACAAACCATTGTATATATTTTATAGTACGATATTGCACTTGCATATCACATCATTGTATATATTACCTTCTGGGTTACCGCTCTTCTTGTTTAATATCTCTATTTAAATCTGTACTTATGTCTGTCTTTTTTTATTATGACAAACCTTGTGAGCTGCTAAATAGTCTTTCGTTGTTTCAAAACCAATGACAATAAAACTATTCTATTCCATTTTATTCTATTCTATTTTTGATCAAAGAAAAAAAACAACCCTTTCAAAAACTCTTCCCAACTATTCTTCATTGTTAATTTATACTGGCTCATAATACATTAACTTCTTTTATATCTAAAATGTAAAAAATATGATATATACCCAAAAATTAACATTACTTGTTAACCCGTTGTTCAGTGTTAGTTATATGATACCTAACTACTTCTGGGATTATTTGCAAGAGACATTTAATACAGGAGAACGCTGTTCACACTCAGTCAGTACATACAGGCGTTTCTGTAGTGGATGTAGCCGGCTGCTGTAGTGACTTTGGGCATGGCTCCTCAGCTGGAGGCGGGGCCGGGGGCGGAGTCTCACTGGCCGAGCTGCTCTGGATGTCACCTGCATCGCCGTTGGTTACCTGAGGGATCTGCTGACTGAGGACCGCCTTCAGCTTCTGCAGGTGAGAGACAGAGGTCAAATCAGCTGGCTTCAAAACACTGTCACCTTAAGAATACAACTGTTTTGTCTGCTTGCTTTGAGTCCTATTTCACATTTACCCACTGTAAATGTCACATTCAAAACACCGAACTGTGGTTGGCCATGTTAAATGAAAGTAAGAGGGCCCTTCCAGGCTAACTGGGAGGTTCTGGCCACAATAAGCTGCAGTGTTGCAATATGCAACAGACTTTATGCCGACAGTCAAAAATCTGCCTATTCGCATAGCGTTTAACCATAAAATCTCCCTCTCTTCAGCATTTTTGTCTATAGTTCCAGCATAACTGCAGTGAAATGAGGAAAAACATGGTGCTATCTCTCTCCCTCTCTCTCTGGGATCAGGAGGCTAAACTACATTAGAGAGAGGCGAGAACTGAAGATTAGAATAATTAACTTCTGCGGAAAACCAGAGGCAAGGATTAAAACAACATATTCATCACAGCTTTAAACAGATGCTTCCCTCAGAGCTCTTCCACAGGAGTAAGAGCTGTCGTAGCTAATTCCCTATTCCCTGGAGATGCCTGTGATTTTCTCTTGTCAGGGAAATCTGCCTTTCCCTGGTGTACTGTAGCGTGTGCAGCACAGAGACCTCAGAGCCAAGAGCTTTTCTCTTCACTATGAGCAACCCCCCAATAATGACAACAGTAGAGTCTGACGAAGTTTAAAAATCTCTCAATATTTTTTCAGCATTTTTATGACATTCAATATAAATATTTATATCGATATTTAAGCACTTGCTCTGAATATTCTCTGCTCTAATGTTTAAAAGTTTAAAGAATTAAAATGATTTATTTAATATAATATTTAATATTTTACTGAAAATTTCATTTAATAAAAAAAACCGAAATAAAATTAATTTATAATATAAATTAAATACTTTTGTTCAAATTAAATGTTGCTTAGGTGGAAGCTTTTATATTTTATATAATGCAAAAATATTTAAAATATTTGTAAATAAATACAAAAAAAAAAAAAAAATTACAATTACTTTTACTAAAATACATTTACAAAACCAGTTTATAAAAACACAGGGACTTCAGTTAATATTTGAACAATAATGTAGATAAATCGATAAATTAATGTCTAACCCTCTCATATATTTTATGCAGTGTTATTTTAGTATCACTGAAATATTAATTATAGTTTTTTTTATTCATATTTTTGAATTGGTCTTTATATTACAGCTATATTTTCTGTTTTCATTTTAATTTTAGTTAGTTTTTATCATTTTTAGTTGTTTTTGATTATTTATGTCTATATAGTTTTACTAATTATTTCAGTTTTAGTAACATTAGTACATACACTAAATTAAAATGAGAAATTAGGCAACTAGCTAAAATTCAGTTAACGTGAAACACAAAAATCCAGTCTTCAGAATGACAGATGCTGAGAAGTTTTATATCTCCACAGATAATTTTTTTCTAAGCTGACTTGGTTTTTTTAAAAACCCTTTGCAGGAAACCATGATGTGGCCCGAAAGCAGTCGAGCGCGAGCGTTAACAAACACCCACACAGCAGGTGAGGTGTGTAACCATGGCCACAGGGACAGAGGATGCATTAATTTTCATGAAAAAACAAGAAAAGTACATTATTTTAACAGCCATCCTCGGCAGACCAATCTATCTAGCAAATTAGTTTATAGAGCAATACCCTTCCCGAACTCCACGTTTCTACATGACCAGAAATAAATTATTCACGTGGAACAAGTCACACAAGGGCTGAGCGAAAGACTGAAAGAGAGAGAGAGAGAAACAGAGGGACTGTGAACGATGTGTGCAGGGCCAGTCAGATTCATATTTCATATCTGCCATCGGAGCCCCATCAGAGCAGTAGCCCTCCATCTCGAGGGTTTTATTCAACCATCTGCTCCTTTATTACTTATCTTTATTTTGCAACTAATTAACAGCATAATCTTCTAAATTCAGCAAGTTAATTATCATTATTGTGGTCTTTGCAGCATCATCAGTCCTTGTAAAGTGCCGTGTCTGTGTGGCAGGGGAGAGAGAGAGATGAGGGGGTGTTTGCTTGACGAGGGCTCATTAGATGTTTTCTGATGAGTTGAGGTTTTGTGCGTGTGCCTCCTGTAGATGGAGGTTATTTGGAGGGTGGGTGCATATGTTATAAGGGTGTATGTGTATGAATATGTTTTATGTGCGTATGTGTATGCTGATGTGGTGCATGTTATGAATGTTTGGTCATGCAGTAGATGTGCATTTGTTGGTGTTTGGATGCATAAGCAATCATGTATTTGATCATATGCATTTAAACAAATAGGGTACAAAACAGGGCTTGAAACTTGAGAAAAATAAGTCTAATGTCTTAGTAATTTTCAGGAGCTCATATTAAACTTGGCCTAAACTTGACTAGTTTAAGACTAATGACTAATAAATATAAATGTCCCATATTAAAGGGAAAACAAACACATTTGATCATTTTTCCTACAATAACTTCAGTAACAGGGTTAAACGGTTGAGCTTGAGAAATGCAGTTTGCATAAAAGTAAAAAATTAAGGAACATTTACATTTACACATTTACACTACTGGACAAACGTTTGGAATAATTACGATTTTTAATGGTTTTGAAAGAAATCTCTTCTAATAATCATTCAAACACACTGATATGCTCAATTATTAATAATGGTTCTTATTTTCATCAATGTTGTACTGCTGAATATTTTTGTGGAAACTATGATGCAATTGTTTTATGATGCTCTAATGAATAGAAAGTTCAAAATAACCGCACTTATTTGAAATGGAAATCTTCTGTAACACTACAAATGTCTTTACGGTCACAACTGATCAATTTAATGCTGCTTTGCTAAACAGATTTTTTTTTTAATTATTATTATTTTACTTACCCCAAACTTTCGAGTGTATCATGCTTTTCACAAACATTTTAAGCAGAAAATAGATGAAGAAAAAAAAATTATTGAGCGGCAAATAAGCATATTATTATGATTTCTGAAGGATCACTGAAGACTGGAGTAATGATGCTGAAAATTCAGCTTTGATCACAGGAATAAATTACACTGTAATATATATTTAATTACAAAACAGTTATTTTAAATTGTACAAATATTTAATAATATTACTATTATAACTGCATTTTTGATCAAATAAATGCAGCCTTGGTGAGCATCAAAGACTTCTTTCAAAAAACATTAAAAAATAATTATTTCTCCAAACTTTTGGCCAGTAGTGCATGTACAAATTTCTCTTTAAACGTGCAAATAGCTGGTCTCTAGATTTCAACACTACTTCAACAATGTGTGCTGGTCTGGTTGTGTAAAAACACATAAACGCACATAAACACTCCAGCCAGATGCCCTCTTGTGCTCTTGCACAGGAACTACAGAAAGCTCAATGTTGTTGTGTCAGTGTTGTGGACTGTACATTCTGGGTCCCTCTGGGGCTGAAGGAAAATCTGCTTACACTGAAACACGCCTGTAAATGAGGTGCATGTGGATGCATATGTAAATGAGAGGTGCAGAAATTACCATCTTAGCTTCTGATTGGACAGGCTGTGGAGAGGAGGGGCCGGGGATTCCAGGGACTCTAGGCACTAAGGTGACTGGTCTGACCAGCTGAAAACACACACAAACACATATGGAAAAAATCAATACATGATCAGTCTTGCACACACTAAATATGGTACTGTACTTCTAAGAATGCCATGGGGTCCAAAAAGCATGGTATATATAAAAATCATAGTTCATATAAATAAGCAAAAAAAATATATATATATTGATTTCAGATTTTCTCTGTCTGTATATATATATATAAATAATATTATTATTAGCATTATTATTATTAGCAGAGGTGTGAACATTTCAATCAAATTAATAATTAAATGAAACTATTGGTTATTGCTGGGTTCAGGAGAAAGCAAAAACATACATACAAACATATCACTCAGTTAGTTAAGTTAGTCAGTTGAGTTAATCACACTAACTCGTAACTCCATCACCTAACTGGCTCAGAAGAGTCACTCGCAGGTTATCATGTTTGAATGCAGAAACGTATTTAAATATCTATAGTTTAAATGTCAACAAAACTAACCAAATTAATAAATGGAATAAAAAAGAAAAAGAAAAAACTAAATCTTATAGAAAACACTGCACTAGGTATTAGGAAATATATTTTGTCTGAAAGCCTACGGGACATAATCATATGCTGCTCAGTCTTCCACACAGATCATCAAGCACACACACAAACACACACACACAGTTTGAACTGCCCCAGACACACGTGTGTGTGAGTGATAATGTGTCTCTGCATACATTACTGCACCCCTCACAGGCTGACGTCATGAAAGCGGCGCAGTGTCCTTCATCCACCAACACACACTTAACACTGGAGCCATGCTTAAGAATGCTTAGATCACTTCCCAGCATGATTTGTTTCTCCATGATGGATTTGTGGAACTGATTGCTTTTTACACATGTAGCAACATGCGTCTCAAATGTGTCTCCTGTGACCACTTGATTTGAAGGGGAGGGTTTTTAAAGAAAGGAAAACATCTGAAGCTGAACATTCTCTGTTATTTTAATCAAGCTTCTGTGTATTTTGGATGTGTGTGTGTGTGTGTGTGTGTGTGTGTGTGTGTGTCTGGACCATCCAAATGGATGCTATTACCAGGTATAAACGGCTGTGGATCACATCAGTCCTCACAAGTCTGTAAGCACGAGTCTCTGACAAATAGCGGTCAGGACAAACCCATCTACTACATCATAATTCTGCAGCAATAGAACACAAAGGAGATGACCTTAAAATGTCTAATTAGCCAAAAAAAAAAAAAAAAAACCTTCTGCCCTCTACAGGCATTCTGGACGCGAAACAAAAACTCTGTTCCGAAACCTAGTGAGCTGCCTAAAGACAGCATTTTAAGGCATCATAGGTGCATTCCAAGGGCTTTTCCAATATCAGGCTGCTTTCTAACATACCTTTGTTTAGAAATGCTAAGGAAGCATTACGTGCTTACAAATAAGGCAATCCCAGAATGCATTCTAGTTCTTTCGCTGAAGTTCACTTATTCTGTTATCAATATTTTCCACCCTCTCTCCGACCCGTAGAATTAAAGACATCATCCCATGGTAAAAGTCAAAGATATTACAGAGTTCACTGTACTATGAAAACACTGCAACTTCAAAACTCTCAGAAAATGTCCTGCTCAGTCCAAAAAGAGCATTTACTGAAACATAGGTCTCAATGATACAATGTGTCAAACTTTATGGTGTTTCTGGCTGTGTAGCACCTGCAGCTCTGCAGATCTATCTGAAATATCGTGGCGATCTGATCTTAACAGTACACCTTTTCTTGTTATCAGGGGTTGGTGGTTATGTTAATGAGCTCATGGTTGTAATGTCCATGAAACTTTTTTTGTTTTAAATCACACATTTTATGTCATGTCAAACCTATGTCAAATTCTTTTTTGAACTTTTTTTGAAAGTACAGATATGGAGACCTGGAAACTACGGGAGAGGAGAGAGTGCAATGGGAGTGGGAAAGAACCTTAAAGGGGTGGTTGATTGCGATTTCACTTTTTTAAACATTAATTTGTGTGTAATGTTGCTGTTTGAGCATAAACAATATCTGCAAAGTTACGAAGTTGAAAGTTCAATGCAAACGGAGATATCGTCTTTTAAAATTATGGCAGTTTAATGCCTACAAAAACAGCTGGTAGGGACTACGAGTTACTTCCCGGGTTCGTGACATCACAAACCCAGATAAACCCCGCCCTCTGGAAAAGGCAGCAAAGGGGGCGAGGCCATGCTGCGCTGCTTTAGAGAAGAGGAAGAGAAAACTAGAGGTGCATGTAAAAATCTATTCATATATGAATCACGATTCTGTCTTCTAACGATTCTAATGGATTCACAAGTTTCAAAAATCAATATTCTAAAGCAGCAGTTCTCAATACTGTTCCTCGCGTCCCCTTGCTCTGCACACGCTCTGCATCTCTCTCTCTCTCTCTCTCATTCAGATCATCAGCTCAGCTCTGTTCCATTTATACACTGATTTTCACATAGCTATCGTTAAACATGGACACGCGTGCAGTTGCCGTACTGTATTAAAGCTTTAATCAGGATAAAACCGTATATTAAAAGCTAACATAAGCAGTAGCATTCACAAATAACAGCGTACAGCGAGACAACAACAAACAACATACCATTAAAAACCGTGCTTGCACAGGTTCTGCACGATCCTCTTCAATAATATCCTCTGCATCTCAATCGGGCTCAAACTGATAAGCGATATTAACGATGCCATTGTTTACAATACAACATGAGCACATGCCGCTGAGGTGAGGGGCGGGACGTTTAGATGCACACTAGAGACGGTTTAGCCAATCACAACACACTGGGCTAGCTAACCAATCAGAGCCCATTACGTATTTCTGAGGGAGGGGCTTCATAAAAACAGGAAATGATCAGCGCATTTATCAGAGAAGAGACAGAGCGGTTAAGAATAAAGGTAAATTATGTGAAAAATAATGCATTTAAAAAAAAAACAAAGCATGAACCCATGTTAGACTGCACCCCATAAACACAATCAAGCCTAGAACAAAACCAGTGAACCACCCCTTTAAGTCGGGACTCAAGGAAAGTCATATTTATCATATTATGGTAAAATAAACACAGTGTTGTCATCATCACAGATTTAAAAGTGCAGCAAATGATTTTTGAAAAACGCTGTTGAAAAGTGGACCGGACCGAGCAATAAAACACACTTGTAGCCAATCAGCAGTAAGAGGCATATACACTCATGTTGGCGAGGAAAGAGAACTCGGTGCACAAGACAGACATATAGAAATAACTATAGAAAGAGAGAGATGGCAGAGAAAACACTAGTGTTTCAGTACTGACTGGTATCACGGTCGGTCCTTTTGACAACACTAAAAAAAAATACAAAAGAGGAAAAGGTCAGGGGAATATAACTTTAAAAAGAAGGGTTAAGATCAGGCAAGAGCCGCGTTAATATTGGAGAAGCTTTCCAGTGCTGGAGACGCTTATTTCTTCTCGATACATGAGTAACATTGGTTTAGCATTTTGTCTTTTTCTTGATTTGTTTGCTTGTTTGTTCATTTGCCAAAGAGAAAGGAAAACTTGAAATCGCATCATATGACCCCTTTAATATTTTCCTTCACTTCAGCTATGATAAAGAGACAAATAGGTGTGTTGGACCTGAAGCAGCGCTGCTCAGCCTGATCAGTGTATGACATCAAAGTACTGCCGTCTGCTCTCTACAGCTCTCTCACAGTATTTAGATGTCATACACCGATCGGTCTGCACAGAGCAGCATCAAGCCGAACACAGCTACTCATTTCCACACTTTATAAGTCTGGAACATTTAAACTTTCTCCACCCGTTTTAAGCACCGGCTCCCAAAGTGTGCCCGAAAAGTGAGATAACATACTCCGAATATAATGTTTTTTTTTTATTTTGGTTCCTCTTTTAGTGATCTCTGTAAACCCTTAAACAATGCCTGTGTTGTATAGAGTGTACAAGAATGTGGGGACGGAGGCATCAAGATAGGGGTGTGAACTTTTTGGGTAGGGGGCGTGCTTGTTTTGGTGATTTCAAACATCAACAGTGTTTTCCAGAAATCGCTTACTGTATTTAAGAATGTAAAATCACTGTCCAGGAGCTTTCTCTAGAGAGAGAGGAGTGCGTGTGGGACACTCACAGGAATGGCAGTGGGTATGTGCATGCTGGAGCTGGCGATGGTGGCTGGAATGGCGACTGGCATCGTCTGACCGTTAGGCAGCTGCAGCAGAACCGGAAACGTGCCGGACACCGGACTGAAGACAGACAGACAGATGGGGGAAACAGAAACAAAATGCATACCAAACATAGGATTAACATAACTGTAGTATAGATCTAGTATAGCATCATGTAGATGTAGTATAGCATCATGCTTTAAAGTCAACATGAAACAGCAATTGCACAGTACTTTACCTTCGTAATATGACATTTTTTAATGAGGGGAAATAGGACGGGACATAAATGTATCCATCAGGAATTAATTAAATAGTAAAGTGAGCGCTGAATAACAGTCAATCACATTCACAATGCTTATTTTTAAAATGTATAGTTATTTGCTACTGTAACTTTAATTTACTTTATATTAACATGAAATTACTATACTACTATAAATAGCATAAAAACTATTGGTAAGATTTTTAAAAAAAGGCAGCATTGCCTACAACAGTAACTAAAAAATGGCAACAGCTACTTGGCTTTTGGTTACAATTAACAACGGTAATATTAAGCTACGTCATAAAGAAAGCTGTTTCAGGGCAGAGCAAGTTATTACATTTTAATTACACATTACAAAGGCAAAGGTTTTCCTTTGTGATGAATCGTGCAAAAAATGTGTATTAAAAAAGCAAAGTGTCAATCGTTGTGTATTCATGTTGACTTTAATTGATAAAAAATTAACATAAAACAACAGCAAGAATTTTCTCTTCAACTGGTGTGTGAAAAAACAAAAGGCTCAAACAAAACCGACTGATGGCCGAGCACTTGTCAATTCTATGATGTAAAAGTAAAGGCACATGGATCACAAGCAACTGAAACTAAATCATATATTTATAAAGTAAATGAGTGACGAAAACGAAACACCGAATGAGGCGTAAAAAGGAGAAAATGATGGCAAACTAAGAGAGAAGCAGAATAAGTCACGTTTAGAAGTTACTTACACTATCGGTCTACAAGAGGATGGGACCTGGGTTATAACAGAGCTAGATGTTGGAGATGGGAGAGCTCGCTGAATAACAACACCAGCCTCATTGCTGGCCAGTAGTACATTGGGGACTTGGAGGGAGGCAGGACGGACTATAGTGGATGGAGGCAGAGAGGTCGGCTGCAAAGAAACCTCCTGAAAACACCACACGAGAGCCAAGCTGCATCAAGCGCTCACACAAAACTACACTGTCCATTACTGATCTCATACTGTTTCTGATTGTGTCAGTAGCCACAGGGAGCACATACATTGTTCACCTATGAATTAAGAGACTGCGATTTGTTGTGCCTTACAGTTGATGGATGACAGTGTCTTCAAAAAAATTACTTTACTGCAATCAAATGTTTGAGAGTAGGTAAGATTTTTTAATGGTTTTTTTTTTTTTTTTAATGTTTTTACATTTTTTAAAGTGCTTTCCAAGGCTGCATTTATTTGATATTTATTTGCATTTATAAAAAAAAAAAACAGTAATATTGTGAAATATTATTACAATTTAAAATAATTGTTTTATTTTTTTCTTTATTTTAATATTTCATTTATTCCTGTGATGGTAAAGCTGAATTTTCTGCATCATTACTGCAGTCTTTAGTGTCACATGATCCTTCAGAAATCATTCAAATATGCTGCTTTGCTGCTCAAGAAACATCTCCTACTATTGTCAATGTTGAAAATTTAATATTAAAGCTTAATTTTTTTTGTGGAAACTGTGATACGCTTTTTCAGGATTCTTTGATGAATAGAAAGTTCAAAAGAACAGTGTTTATTTTTGTTACAATTTTAACAATTTATTGATCAAAACTTACAGTTTATTTATCAATTTATTAATTTTATGTATTAAAAAAAAAGAAACTTACTGACCCCAAACATTTGAACAGTAAACTACTGTAATTAAGAAATATGAATATTTTCAGCATTTTGAGAGTTCACATTAGAGACGTTGAGTAAACAAATCATGCTTCTATCGATCATAAAGTTCTCAAAGTGAATGTTTATCCATTAGAGCTGTTACAGCTTCAATCTTAAAGTCAGAATCAGCATATTTGCTGACTTATGAGAGAAGTCTCATCTGTCTCACACAATCTGGCCGACAGAGAGATTTCTTCATAGAGCTACAAAAAACAATGTTTACCACTGATTTTGTTTTTTTGTATCTCTATGAAGAAATGTATTTTCATCTGAAACTCAGTAGCTAAACCAAGCATCAAACACCTTTCATGTGTTGAATGAGGGGAGAAGGCAGCCTCATGAATCTGGACTACTAACGCAAAGGTTACACGTTCAATCCAGGTAGGGAAGACCCAGCAACCAAGAGTTATTGGCAACACAATTCTGCACAATATGAGCCTAGGATCCTCCAGGGTGCAATTTCCCTAAAATGATTCTAGTTACTCTTGCATGAAAAATCCCTACTTCCAGCACTAAGTAACTATCACACACAGAGGACCGAAAATAAGTCCTACCCATAACTGCAAGTGTTTATGTAGCTCTCTGTACGGCAGAGCCCTGTGTCTCACCTTGTCGTCAGTGGTGGTTGACTCAGGGTGGGGAAGTGGACTGTCTCGGTGGGACTCAATGGGTGTGTGCTCCTCTATTTTGTTTCGAACAACAGGAGTCGCAAGCGGAGACAAGTCCAGAGGCAACTGCAATAAACACAAATACATCAATGTTTGATTACGCATTTATATCACAAAATTAGCAAGGGTGAAATGTGATTATCCATTAAAGATTTAAATAGATTGTTAATTATGTTAGTTTCAGTTTTACAGTTAGATTTTTTTTGCTACAGAATTGAAAATTGCTAATACATTTAACAAATAATTAAGACAGAAACAGCAAGGAACGCATTGAACTAAAGCTGAAATTTCGAAAAAGAAAGACTGAAATAGTATTTTCTTGTACAACATACTCCGAAAATCTCTGTTGTATTTACAATTTAGAAAAATAATTTTACAGTGTACAAATAATGTATAATGCACAATAAGACCATATATATATATATATATATATATATATATATACACACAGTGTGTATGG